ATATTGTGGGATTTTCTGCCTTGATTTTCTGGGTTATATGACTGTGTGGAAGGACCCTATGATGACTAAAATGAGGTTGCTGTCCTTTCCCCATAAAATAAGATATGACTCACCAGAAAAGAAAATAATGCTTAGTAAGGGCCCTCCCACACAGCCCTATGTCCCAGAATATCAAGGCAGAAAACCTCACATTATCTGAGTGTGGACTCAGATAAGCCAGTTCAAAGCAGATATTGTGGGATTTTCTGCCTTGATATTCTGGGATATAGGACTGTGTGGAAGGACCTTAAGTTAGAAGGCTATATAGAAAAAGAGGAAGACTGCATTTCAGATGGATAGGTTCAGACAAAAATGCCAAGGCCCTTCCAAAAAGCCCTATATCTCAGAATATCAAGGCAGAAAATCCCACATTATTTGCTTTGAACTGGAATATATGGCAGTGTGGACTCAGGGCCGTTCCACACAGCCCTATATCTCAAATTATCAAGGCAGAAAATCCCACAATATCTGCTTTGAAGTGGATTATCTGAGTCCACACTCAGATAATGTGGGATTTTCTGTCTTGATATTATGAGATATAAGGCTGTGTGGAAGGGCCCTGAGGTAACTCAGTTCAAAGCAGATATTGTGGGATTTTCTACCTTGAGATTCTGGGATATAGGGCTGTGTGGAAGGGCCCTGAGTCTGCAAGACCTGAGCAGGATGATTGACGAGAGAGGGACTTGGAGGTCTCTCATTCATAGGGTTACCATAAGTGTCTAAGTTGACTTGACAGCTATAAGTAACAACAATGAATGGTCACCCCTAATTAATTATAAGGCAAGAAGCAACTTGCTATAATAAACTGCTGAACCGAATGAGATGAGTGTGCCAGTTTCAGCTTTATAGCCAGAAAAAAAATTCAGGTGGGGGGGGGGGGGCAAGTGAATTTTTTTTAGCGGATCATGAGGGGTAGTTCCATAACAAAAATAATTTAAATAGTATGGTTCATTCTATATTTTATATAGACTTAATTAAATCAATTTAAGTTTTGCTTTTCGTAGACTTAGCATGGAGATTTGGTTAACCAGTTAAAATTCATGAGTAAACTAGGTTTTTTTTAACCTGAAAAATTGGGGGGGGGGGGTTGAACCCCTAACACTCCCCTCCCCCCCTCCAGCTACAGCCCTGGCCAGTTTGCACTTGAAAAATCGCTTCCAGATCGAGTGATAACTCTAAGCAGTACAATTCTCAGAGCCTGTTTGCACGATGCATTGTAGCATTATGATCCTACTTTGATTCCATACTATGAATTCCTGGGGTCTGCAATTTAGAGAGGAATGTAGAATTCTCAGCTAGAGAGTTCTAGTGCCTTGGCAAACTATACCCTTCAGGATTTCACAAAATGTGGTCACGGTAGGTAAAGTGGAATCACAGTGCTATTACGATGTTGTGTTAAAAGGCTGTTAGAAGACTGCAGTATTTTGAAATATACAGAACAGATATATTTTTGAATACACCCCATATAAAACGATTTTCCCCTCATCCAACCTGAGTCATAAAGGTTCAGCTAATATCTTTCCCTGGAATGCCAGCATTTCACATGCCGGGGCATTTTCAGGGGAGGATCATTCAGAGTATCTCACATGTGCATCACTGAGCTGGCATAATCCCATGTGGACTGTTCCATGCGTAACATATACATTATTTAGCGATAAAAAGCCCTTCATCAAAGTACAATATGAATAATCAATAAAGACCTGGTTGGCCTTATATTCCCAGCAGGGGTGAATTGTCTTAATTGCTTTTCAGATCAATTTGAGGATCATCTTGTTTTGCTTTAATGGGACAGAAAATATAGCTGCAGCGGTAATACATCATTCCACCATCATACTAGAGCTCCATCTACAAGACAACTACCAAGACAACTGCACACTAAAATGTGATTCCAAAACAAAAACAATATAGCTCAAGTAGTAAAGCTTTACTTGAATCCTTAATTTGGATGAGTAGCTGATGCAATATGTAATAATGAAGAAGTGGAAGAGAAAATTGTGAATGAGTCCAATTACCATTTATTTCCAATTCTTTACCCATGTTATTTGCATTATTTAAGGGGCCAGATAATAATTCTACTCCTTATTTGGCAGCTCTTAATAAGCTAAATTATTCATCAGTCTAATGCAACTGAAATGGGTAGTGGGTCAACACCATTTTCTTTATGTATTGCACTATAAAGGCTTCAGGATCCTTCTGTGGGGAATCATTGAACACTTTTAAGAACTATTGCAGCTTCTAGATCAGGCATGGGCAAACTTGGGTCCTTCAAGTGTCTTGGACTTCAACTCCCACAATTCCTAACAGCCTCAGCTTAAGCGGCTTAGGGGGTAAAGGAAAGGGCCTGAGGCTGTTAGGAATTGTGGGAGTTGAAGTCCAAAACACCTGGAGGGCCCAAGTTTGCCCATACCTGTTCTATATTAATCAAAGCTTCTTCAGAATGCCCCTAAAACATTGCTGTCACCCTGATACAACATTTCCTTGATTCAGGGTGGTCGCTGTTCACTATGCTGCTGCTACAAACTTGTGGCTCAGAAGTCTGATAATAAAGCTTGACTCAGGGTAAATTGCATAGTTAGCCAAAGGGACAATAGCAACACTAAGCTTTGTTGGTATGGTGTGCATTGGAATTGTTTCCAACTTGTGGTGACCTTAAAGTGAATCTATCACAGATTTTCCTGGGGCAGAGTATGTGTGACTTACCCAAGGTCGTCCCATGGATTTCCATGGCAAAGCAGGGAACTGAACCCTGGTCTCCAGAATCGTAGTCCAGTGCTCAAGCCACTACACCAGGGGTCCTCAAACCTTTTAAACAGAGGGCCAGTTCACAGTCCCTCAGACTGTTGGAGGAGTGGACTATAGCTTGAAAAAAATGTATTCTGTGCACATTGTACATAGCTTATTTGTAGTGCAAAAAAACATGAAAGAACAATACAGTATTTAAAATGAAGAAGAATTTTAACCAACAGAAATATACCACTTTTTCAGTGGGAAGTGTGGGCCTGCTTTTGGCTGATGAGATAGTCAAGTAAATTGGAATTGCTGTTGTGTGTCTTCAAGTCATTTCAGACTTAGGGTGACCCTAAGTCCAAAGTTTAGAGTGGGGGGTCAGGTAAATGACCTTGGAGGGCTGTGTCCTGCCCGCAGACCTTAATTTGGGGACCCCTGCACTACACCATGCTGTCTCTCAGGTGAAAGAATATGTATGGTTATATTTATGGTAACCTTATCCCATGGTTTATTAACTTTGTCTTCTTTTCAGATGCAAACAATGTGAATTGTTCAAATAATTAAGTGAGTAAGGATTCAGACCTGGTCCCCTGGAGTCCTAGTCCATCCTTCAAACCACTACACCATGATAGCTCAGTGGAAGGATATAATTTTGTCCATCACTTGAGGTAGCCCTGAGGCAGCCATCACTGTTCAGTTGTCAATCCTCATCTTTAAAAAGGATTAAGGATTACTTCTATAGCCATACATAATACAACACATCCAGCACAGCAGCTTCCTACAGCCTAGCTGCTTCCAGATGTGCTGCACTACATGTCTCACCATTCTCTTACAACATGCTAACTGCATGAGAATTGTGATCCAGGACATATGCAAATGGAAAATCCTGAAAACACTGTATAGAAGAACTGTACATCCTTAACATTTTAAATAAATGCTTGGGACAACTCTTAAGCAAGATTTTAAGGATTTATATTTAAGACTGTATAGTTGAAAGGGCCATCAAGTCCAGCTCCCTGCCACACAATCAAAATACTCCCAACAGATAGCCATCCATATTTAAAGATCAATTATAAATGCAGTAAAGATGTATAAAGGACAGGTGCAAATTACCATTAGAGGAATCTAGCCTGAAAACTACATGCGGTGCTGCAGCGGCCCAATTCCCAAATGAGATCTGTTTGTACTCTATACCTGTGTAAAGGCAGCCTTGCCCATTCAGGCCATGTTCTGGTCTCAAATTGTGTCCAGGACTGGTGCAAGGGGAGCCGGGAAGTGATCTTGGCTCTCTCGATGCTTCTTTATCATGATGTCAGGAACCTCACATAAGACCTCATCACAATAGAGAATGAATCCACTTTAAATCCAGTTTCTGCCTCCTGCAGAATTCTGGGGTTTGTAGTTTAGGGAGGTGCCATTAACAACCTCACTAAACTACAAACCCCAGAATTCTGCAGGAGGCAGAAACTGAATTTAAAGTGGATTCATTTTCTAGTGTGATGAGGTACATACAATCACAATTGCTACTCAAATTCTAGAGAGCAGTTGCTACTCCTTAGGAAGAAACCAGGTGTAATGGGACCAGATGAGATGTGGGGCCTGCTTAGCTGAAGTTATATCGGTCCAGAAATGTCCAAAATCCATAAAACAGCAGTACCTTTATTGGGTCAACAAAACTGCACAAAATACACCATGCAAGCTTTCAAATCTTTCAGGCATCTTCATCAGGCAAAGCTGTTAAAATCATACAGAAGAAGAAACCTCTGCCTAATAAAACATTCAATAGAGCTTTGAAAACTTGCACTTTTTAAACCCTTTTGCCTGATAAAGAAGCCAGTGGAACTTCAAAAACCGTCATGATGTATTTCACCACCTTTCCCTGATAAAGAATCCAGTGGAACTTTGACAGATTGCATGGAGTCCATCATGCATTTGGGTAAACATGGCTGTTTTGTGGATTTTGATTGTCATTGTATTTTGCTTTACAACAGTGGTTCTCAACCTGTGGGTCCCCAGATGTTTTGGCTTTAACTCCTAGAAATCCTAACAGCTGGTAAACTGGCTGTTTCTGGGAGTTGTAGGCCAAAAGACCTGGGGACCCACAAGTGGACAACACGTCTTTACACCCAATGTATTTTCCCTTGGATATGCCAATGGTGCTGAAGGTGGTGCCACAGGGGCAGAGTGTCACTTTGGCTCCCAGCTCTAGCTTCTCCCTTCCCAGCAAGGCTTACCTTGTGCTGCTTCCACATAGCCCCCAAGGCCTTCACCTCATGTTTAGCATGCTTGCCCTCTTCCAGACACTGATAGCAGACGGGGGTCCGGCAAGTTGCACAGTACATGCTGTAGTTCTCCATCTCGTGGTCCACACAGGTGGGGGGCTTGCGGGCTGCCCCAGGTACTTTGCTCACTGCACTGATAACACCTCCCGCAGGGCCTGCTCCTGCTCCACCGCTGGCCCCAGGCACAGCACCTCCAGTGGGAGCTACCTGCTGGCTGGGTGGGGGCACCAAGCGGTGCTTGGCAAAGGGTCCCCGGGAAGGGTGGCACTTGATCTGGCAGGAGGCGCAATAGAATACTTCACACTGCTCACACATGACGGCAGCTGGCTCAGGTGGGTTGCGGTCACACAGCTGGCATTTGGCAGCGGCTGAGGCAGCAGCTCGGGCCGCTTGGTACCGCTGCACGATGGCCTCCAGGAGCCGGTTGCGTTGGAAGCCGCGCAGGCCACGGTGGTCCAGTGAAGCACTGCGGTGGCATTGCGGGCAGGTCAACGAGGAGCTGGCAATACTTCCCCGTGGAGTGGACCCAGCGGGCCCTGTGCCAGGAGGCGGTGGCACCAAGGGCAGGACCCGCACCCCGTTGGGAGACTTCAGGCTTGGGGTGTAGGAGCCATAGCCACTGTCGGTCTCGCTGTGCAAACTCAGCTTGTCTGTGTGGTCCACCCCTCCACCACCACCACCTCCTCCCCCTCCCGCAACAGTCCCTCCACTGCCTCCACCAGCCCCGCAGTCATAGTCGAGGGAGGCCGGTCCAGCAGCAGGCCCCGGCCCTTGTGGTGGCCCCCGTGGGTGCAGCATGGAGGGTAGGTGCTGCTCGCTCTCCGGGGTCTGCACAGCGATGGTGCGGGCGCAAGGGAGGCAGACGTTGTGGGAGCAGGGCAGGATGAGGGGCTCCCGGAAGAGGGAGCCACACACGGGGCATTTCAGCTCCTCTTCCATGACTGCAGCAGAGGGCTTCGTGGCCCACAGGGCAGGCGGTAGAGGGACAGGACGGTTCAACATCCTTGCTGAGACGAGGGAAAGCCGTTGGCTGCATGGCTGCGCATCCCGACGCCTTGGCCCTCCATCCTCTCCTCCTTCCTCCTCCCGCTGCAGCTGGAAAGATGTCGGAATCAGGTTTCAGCACCACGGAGGCAGCGGACAGCGGCTGGGAAGCGCGGCCTGGATCTCAGCACCAAAGAGATGGACGGCGAGTGGCAGCGCGGATGCGGCTGGGATTTCAGCACCACCGAGGTCTTGGACAGCTCCCCATGGTCTTCGGGAAGCCGGCTCTCCCTGATGCAGTGCAGCTGCGGAGGAGCCCTGGGCTCATGGCGGGGATGGAGAAGATGCAGAGGGAAGCCAAGAGGGAGGGGAAGAGGAGAGGGTCTTCTCTCCCTCCCTCCCTCCCTCCCTCCCTCCCTCCCTCCCTCCCCCCCGTATCCGCAGGCGCTGCCGCAGCGGGACTGACCTTGCCCAGTGGCAGCCAACGCGATGGAAGGCGGCTATTGTTTATTGCCAAGGCATTTCCATGCCCTTGGTGGGTGCCGCGGGCAGAGTGCTCCCCTTTGCGTGCATTTCCGTTGCATAGAGTGAAAAGGAGGGGGAGGGAGGGGAGGGAGGGAGGGAGTGTGGGGTGGGAAGGAACCGCCAGAGAGGCGGGAATAGCATTTCCCCCAGCAAATGGGTGATCGCTCTCTCTGTGACTGAGAGCAAGGAGCCCGTTTCATTTAAAGGGAGATGTATCTCTTTCTAGGTTGCCTTGCCTTTGCACGTTTTTTGGGGGGGAAAATCCTTTATTTGGAGAGAGGATTGAACATAGCGGGGGGCTTCTTTATCTCTAATAGCTTCGTTTTTCTCCCCCAGACAGAAAAGGGRGAATCTTCAAAAGCTTTGTGGACGGGGAGAGGGGGGGGGGCGAATTAAAGAGGGCAAGCCCTAAATATATTTTCCTTTCCACAGCCCTTATCGTGCTGGTGCACATATTTCCAAACCATAAAATCCCAGGCACTGACAGCCAAAAGAATGAGAGAGAAGATATTTTATTTTTATAATAGCTGGCTCATGATTGGATGGCGGCCTTTCTCACATGTACATCCACACACACACACACACACATCATTGGAAGTGGAACAAGAAATGCACTGCCACATCACAGGCAACTCAATCCAGATTTGCTTTGGAAATAAATCAGAGTTGACAGCTGAATGTTTTGTGAGTTGGAAATAATTGCCATTCCAAGGAAGAAGTTGCCATTGGAAATTCTCATCTGATCCCCCCACTCCCTGTCCATACACATATGTGGAGGGAGAGGAAATGGGATGGAAAGAAACCACAGCAATTCTTCTGGGACTTTGGATAAATTATAGGTATAGGTAACCAAAGCATTTAGTGGCATAGATAATAAGCTGGAATAAGCTCAAAAATCTTTTCATTGGCTTGATTATTTTAGTGCTGGGTTAAGTATGTTTTTTGAATAGGAATTGCCTAGATTACGCTTGTGGATTATGTTATTGTGAATGTATTGTTTTAAATGTTTTAATTGTTTTAATGTATTTTATTATTTTATTTTGAATGCTCATTTTAACTGTCCATTGTGTTAAGGCTTTGAATAGTTGCCTATATGTAAAGCCGCCTTGAGTGTCCTCTGAGGTTGAGAAAGGTGGGATAGAAATGTCGTAAATAAATAAATAAATCCTTAAAACCAAGGGGAACAAAGGTAATTGATGGCTGAATTGCAAACAAGTAGCATAAAACTAAAATGGAGTTCCTGCAAACACAGTGTACTTAAGTGGCTGAAGGGGAAAAGGAAGGGGCCTGAGGCTGTTGGGAATTGTGGGAGTTGCAGTCCAAAATACCTGGAGGGCCCAAGATTGCCCATGCCTGCTATATAGACTAGAGAAAATATCTATTTCATGAATGGGGTATTTTCTAACAATGGCTGCATACACCCAAAATATCCTCTCTTGATTCCTATGACACCTTTCTCTTAATAAGGCTATAGCTTACCATATGTGTTAGTACAATAGAACTAAAAATGTAAAGTATTTTTAATCAACAGTAATGGACAATTCAATTAATACATTTAAAAATGTTGAAGCACATCCAAAGCTAAAAATACAACACATCCTATTATTTTAGGAAAGCTAAAAATATAGCATATCCCATTATGAGAGCTTTGTGCTACCACCATTTGGATCCTGGAAGCTTTCTGGCTATGGCCAGAAAGAGAGAGAGAGAGAGAGAGAACCTAGGCTTTCAGTGAAGAAAATTCCACAGCCCTTGGGCAACCACGGAGAAGGCTCTGCGTCCTCATTAAACAAGCCTGTGAGGGTAACAGGGCACAGATAATGAGTACTGTGGTTTCGGAGTTACTTTGCCAGATACCTTTTTCTTGTATAATTCTCAAATGGTCTTCAGGATATGTCCTACTTTAAAAGTTGTTTTATATTTCATAGTTATTAGCTTTCAATTGAAGTGCTACTGTGAATCTTCCTTGATAATTTTCTTACCTAATTTGAACAAAAGTGTAAGTGGGAAGAGAGAGACTTGGTGCTCTAGATGTTATTGGACTGCAAGACCCATCAAGCCTGACCAGCACAGCAATTGAGGAAAAATTAAGGAGAGTTGCAGTCCAGCATTGTCTGGAGGACCATGTCCCTTATGCTGCACATCTCCCTACACTGATAGCAATAGCTCTAATCTCACAAGCTTCCATGGTGTTGAATGTGCCTGCTGCAAGGATGTTTTGAATCACTGAACCATCCAGATTAACCTTCTTTTTTGACAAAATGAATGAAATACTTCTTCAAGTGGGGTGAATTGTTTTTCTTTTACTTTTCTCCAGTCCCAGAGAGTTCCATGGACAGGGGGGGAAAGACTTCTTGACTTGCTAAAATTGTCCATCTGTGAAGCTGTGGAGCCAGAATGGGCTAGGATCAAAGACAAATTGTGAGGCCCATTAATTAATATTGGCACAGAGAAATTGTAAGAGAGGAGAGGGCAATATTTGTGGGGGCTGTTCTGGCTCAATAACCAAGCTTTCTTGTCTTTGAATTACGTCATTTGTTAGTGAATATAGATCTACTATATATCTTATAGTGAGATAATGCACCCTCAATTTTAGCCTGTGCTTTATTTATTCATTTTGTGTCAAAAGCATTGCACAAACAAGTATAAAACTGATAAAATAGAGGAAACACAAGCAGGTAAATAATTTAAGACCAAAAACAAGCAACATTGACTGCATTGTCTGTAGCTTTAAACAATTCTTCCACTGTGCATGAGGCAAGGCATTGAGGGCAAATATAGAGACAGAGTTATTTGTTCTGCTCCACAGTCGCACAAGGTGGAAGATTATTCTAAGTCATGCAAGGGCAATCTTCAGCCCTCTAGGTCTTTTGAACTTCAGCTCCCACAGTTCCTAACAGCCAGTAGGCTGTTAGGAATTGTGGGAGTTGAAGTCCAAAACACCTGGAGGGCCAAAGTTTGCCCATGCCTGTTCTAGGTAGTGTCATTTTGCCAGGTTGTCTTTTGGTCTGCCCACTCCACTTCTGATGCCCAACATATTTTAGAAGCTACCACAGATAGCTCCTTTAAAGTTCAGAGTAAAATCTAAAAGAGGTTCACTACCACATTGGTATGGAAAGTACCAGGTACTACAGAATACACACCTCCTCTTTGCTTTTTAACAAGTAATAATATGCAGCAAAAAAAAAAAACACCTCTCTCTCTCTCTCTCGCTCTCTCTCTCTCTCTCTCTCTATATATATATATATATATATTCTGGTGAAATGTATCTTCCAAATTACCAATGTGAACATTTCAAAACTTTATATTACTCCTTGGCAAATCCAAGCATGCATTTACAGTTTATGACCCTAAAAAAGGAAGTTGTGGAGTAATGAATATATTTGAAAAAAACAATCTCTCATGCTGTCAAGATTCCTTTCCTATTTTTTATGTTTGCATTCTTCAGTCAAGGCTCTTTCTGCTGATTTTAAAGGTCAACATTCTACATTTAGGCCTTGGCAGAATGACAGCTAAGGGTGGAGCAATGTTGCATGATGCATCCTCTTGAATATTTGACTTGCTTATTGAACTCTCAAGAGCTTCTGCTGCAAAGGAATTCCAGATGGACTATAGAATTGCTCAGAAAAAAAGGAATGGTGATAGCAGTGCCATGACAGACAGAAGAATAAGAACTGTCCCCTGCTTTGGAGAGCAAATGCACAATTATAATTCCATTAGAAATCCAGAGGTGAAGGATTACCATCCCGATGTCATGTTTTATGCTCCAGAGGCCAGAAGAGAAATTAATGAACCCAAGGAGGAGAAATGGCCTTTTAGCCTTAAAAAAATGCTGTCTGTAATCCCCAGAGAAGACATTTTTATACCCTTACACAGTAATACTGAAACAGAGAGATTTCTTGCAGCTTGATTATTTTCAAATGTAACCTATTACTGCAAAGGCAAGGTTTCATTTATTCCTTCTTATGTGGACAAACTTACTAGGAGGTTTCCTAGAACAAGATCAAATAATTAAGACTAGTTTCAAAAGAACTAATGTAGCAAAATTTGATAGCCCCCATAACCATGCCTCCAAAATAGAGTCCAAAAAATTAGGTAGCCATGTTGATCTCCTGAAATGGTTTTTAACCTGTGATATGCAGACACGCCACCTCTGCCTCAGGGACTGTGATGTCCTTACAAGGAAAGTCCTCCAATTACTATAATATACATCTTGTTCAGGTGCATGGAATATTATCCAGAAGCTCAGGCCTATATACAAAGCTTGAATAGGGGAAGAATTTAGACAGCAACATCTGAAGGAAATCAAATGCAAAATGTGCACATCCCTGAGCACAGATTTTTGAATTAAATTTCACGAAATTTCTGACTGCTGTGTTGTCGAAGGCTTTCATGGTCAGAATCACTGGGTTGCTCCAGGCTGTAAAGCCATTTTCCTGAAGCATTGTCTCCTGACGTTTTGTCCACATCTATGGCAGGCATCCTCTGAGGTTGAGAGATCTGTTGGAAACTAGGCTAGTGAGATTTATATATTTGTGGAATGTCCAGGGTGAGGGAAAGAACTATTTTCTGCTAGAGGCAAGTGTGAATGTTGCAATTGACCCCCTTGATTAGCATTTAATGGCCTCACAGCTTCAAATCCTGGCTGGTTGCTGCCTGGAAGAATCTTTTGTTGGGAGGTGTTAGCTGGCCCTGATTGCTTCTTGTCTGGAATTCCCTTGCTTTTTGAGTGTTGCTCTTTATTTACTGTTATAATTTTATAATTTTTGAATACTGGTGGCCAGATTTTGTTCATTTTAATGGTTTCCTCCTTTCTGTTGAAATGGTCCACATGCTTGTGGATTTCAATGGCTTCTCTGTGTAGTCTGACATGGTGGTTGTGAGAGTGGTCTCAAATAATATGCTGTGCCCAGGTTGGTCCATCAAGTGCTCTGCTATGGCTGACTTCTCTGGTTGAATTAGTCTGCAGTGCCTTTCATGTTCCTTGATTCGTATTTGGGCAATGCTGCATTTGATGGTCCCTATGTAGACTTGTCCACGGCTGCATGGTATACAGTAGACTCCTGCAGAGGTGAGAGGATTCCTCTTGTCCTTTGTTGAAGATAGCGTTTATTGGATTTTCTTAGTGGGTCTGTAGATTGTATGTTGTGTTTCTTCATCAGCTTCCCTGTGTGTTCAGTGGTTCCCTTGATGTATGGCAAGAACACTATTCTTCTGGGTGGATCTTTGTTTTTATTCTCGTGGCTTGTTCTTGGTCTTGCAGTTCTTCTGATGTCTGTGGTGGAGTCTCCATTGGCCTGGAGAGCCCAGGTGGTTCAGTTCACCTTGGAGGAGGTGGGGTTCACATATTATTTGTGCACCGTCTACCAGGGCTTTAATTGTGCTTCTTTTTTGACTTAAGTGATGGTTGGAGTGTTTATGTAGGTATCTATCTGAGTGTGTAGGTTTTCTGTAAACTGTGTGGCCCAATTGTTGATTGGGTTTGTGGATGACTAGGACATTCAGCAATGGCAGTTTTCCTTCATTCCCCCCCCCCCCCCAAGGTAATTTGGATGTTTGTGTGGATGCTGTTGAAGTGGTCTAGAAACTTGTTTAGTTCTTCTTTCTGGCTGCTTTTTTGATGCCTTAATGTCCTCACAGGGATTACAAATGGTAGAATTCCCACTGGAAGCTTTATTAATTTCCCACTGTTCTCACTGGCTACACTCTGAGATATAGTCATATATACTGATTATACTTCAAAAATTCTGGATAATATTCCTTGCATCTGATGATGTGGGCTATGGTCCATACAATATCATGACATAACATTATATTAATCTTCAGGGTGCCTTATTTGATTGAAAACGAAGACCTGTGGTTCTTGGGAGAAAGACAAGTCTCTTTGTTAGAGCAGCATTTCTTCATGCAATGCTACTCTAGGACTTGAGCTGTAGATGGGGAGAGAGAGCTTTCCACTTAATGCGTGAGTTCCCTTACAAGAACCAACACATCCTCTTTCCTCTTTTAGCAACTTTGATCTGATGTCTTGCCAGGAGACCCTTCTTCTAACAGCCTAGGCTTTGATCCTGAAACTCTGCCTTGTTCAATAAATGCTTTGCTATTGAGGCATTAGTGACACCAGATGAAGCCAGTTACCTTTACACAGTTATACACACACATACAATGATGAAACCGTAGCAAAAGGACAGAAATAGAAAATAAAAAATGGTGATACTTTATTTGAACAAAAGATCAAATGCATACCAAGGAAGGTAATTCATACTTATGGAACCAAAGAACTTAGTTATCTTACTTGATCAGTTATAGCCTTTATACTTCCTTTTTGCCACCCTTTCTTATATTCTACCAGCATTTCTCCCCTTTCTTTATAGGTCCTTATCCTTTCTCATCATACTTTGTCTATTTTTGCCTTCTTGATTCTTGCTATTCTGCTCTGTTTCCAGCAATCACCAGCCAATCCCTCTGCAATATCAGAAATACAGCTTAATGATGTAACGTTAGAAAATGTTGACAATTTCTGCTACCTTGGCAGCTACCTCTCCACAAAAGTCAACACTGACATTGAAATACAACACTGCCTGAGCTCTGCAAGTGCAGCATTTTTCCAAATGAAGCAGAGTGTGTTTGAGGACTGGGACATCTGTAGGGATACCAAGGTCCTTGTTTATAAAGCTATTGTCCTCCCAACCCTGCTATATGCTTGCAAAACGTGAACTTTCTACAGATGTCATATGCAACTCCTGGAACAATTCCATCAGCGTTGCCTCAGAAAAATCCTGTAAACCTCTTGGGAAGACAGGTGGACAAATGTCAGCATGCTGGAAGAAGCACTGAAGCAATGCTCCTACACCATCAACTCCGCTGGATTGGCCATGTTGTCCAAATACCCAATTATCATCTCCCAAAGCAGTTATTATACTCCCAACTCAAGAACAGGAAATGTAATGTTGGTGGACAGGAAAAGAGGTGGACAGGACAACCTTAAAAACTGTGGCATAGACACTCAGAACTGAGAAACCCTGGCTCTTGAGTGCTCTAACTGGAGGTCAGCTGTGACCAGCAGTGCTGCCGAATCCAATGAGGCATGAATGGAGGGCGAAAGGGAGAAATGTGCCAAGAGGAAGACACACCAAGCCAACCCTAACCGAGACTGCCTTCCACCTGGAAACCGATGTCCTCACTGCGGGAAAACATGTGGATCAAGAATAGGGCTCCACAGCCAGTTATGGACCCACCACCAAGACACTACACTTGGAGGACCATCATCCTTGGGCTACAAGGAATCATCTAAGTAAGTAAATTGTTCCATGTTTTGTTTCTCCCCATTTCTGTCCTCAAAAGACTTACCAGGAATGTAAATTCTTCATTGCTGCAGCCTGATAAAATCTTCAAGTTTCAGCAGGCATGCCTCTTTGCTGGGCACATTGATGCACATTCACTTGGGAAACCAATGAGCAAGGCAGCAACTTGCACAATCAGTTAACAGAAAAGGACTTAACAGCTTTCTGCATGATCAGCTATCATTTACAAGAAGCCATTACCACGGATTATTCTTTCTTATCACATTAGCCCATCAAGGAAAGCATTAGATTAGGACAAGCTGAGAAAGATTGTCCCTGATACTGAATGTACAATAATAACTTCTCATAGATAAGCAGCCAAGAGAACAGTGTGTTACCAGATGCCTAAATCCCAAAGCTATATCAGAACGGGACTGGAATGAGAGTCTTCCTTTTAGTGGTACTTGGTAGTTGTACCTCTCCCCCAAGGTTTTCATTGCTCAACAGAGACTGTCTCTATAGCCAGCCCTACAACTAGGCAGAAGGAAGCAGCTACCTAAGGTGATCAGTCTTTCATGACATGAAAGAGCAGCAAATTGATAGAACTGTATTTTTAGTATTAGGTAGAGAAATCAGTTTTAGTGCCAAAATTGTTTATCCAATTGGAATTTTATATCTATCTCAAACAGAGTGGGCGAATCCATTTCAGTGATCCAAACTGTTTTGATTGATGGTCATTGCACAATCTATGGTGTATATTGGTACAGATGGGAGGCAAATGCAAAATAACTAATAATATACAGCCAGCCCTCCACAATTCCAGATTTAAATTTTGAGGATTTGATAATTTTAACATGTTATCTGTTAAGTATGTTTTCTCTAGGAATCTCTAGGTTCTCTAGCCTGATTATGTTCAACTTCTGCCAGTCACCTTGGGGGACCTAGAAATTTCTAGACATTTGTTCTTTGAGGTGAAAACATGACTTTAAAAATTGTTGAATTTTTTTACAGTGGCTTTGCACCCCTATGCCGCACAAAACTTGAGGGCCTACTGTATATTATTAGGAGTCTTAATTCACTTTGTTTTATGGAATAGCAATAGCTCTTTGAAAAATTCTACGCAGAACATTTAAATATTTATTTGAGTATTCAGTGATACATATCCCACTATGCTGTTTACTAATAATAATAATAATAATCATCATCATCATCATCATCATCTTTATTTATATCCGGCCACCATCTCCCAAAAGGGACTCAGGTGGCTTACAAGGCACAACAGTGTAGTATATAACATAAATGGTACGTGGGTATAAAAACAATATCACATAAAAGTTATAAAAACAACCACTATCAACACATAAAATAACATAAAGTTAAATAAAGTAAAATAAAAGAAAAGAAAATGCAAACCATCTCTAGCTAAAACTAGCTGCCTTCAATTCACAATGAAAGTGCCGAAGTGTAAAACTCATATGGGCCCACTTCAGCCTACTCAAGGGCAAAGCCTGCTTGAAATCCATGTTTTTAGGTTGGATTGGAAGGAGTCAAGGCTAATCTAATCTCTTTTGGGAGGATATTCCACAGCCAGGGAGCCACTACAGAGAAGACCCTATCTCTCGTCCCCACCGACCACGCTTAAGACGGTGGTGGAACCAAGAGAAGTGCCTCCCTTGCCAATCTCAAAGCCCATGCCAGTTCATAGAAAGAGATGCAGTCTTGAAGACAGGTTGGACCAAAACCATATAGGGCTTTGTAGGTAATAACCTGAACCTTGAATTGACCCCAGAAAACTATCGAAAACCAGTGGAGCTGCTTGAGTAGGGGTATAGTATGTTCCCTATAGCTAGCTCCAGTTAGTAATCTGGCAGCCGAACTTCGTACTAACTGCAGTTTCTGAACCATCTTCAAAGGCAGCCCCACATAGAGTGCATTACAATAGTCCATTCTGGATGTAACTAAGGCATGGACCACTGTGGCCAAGTCAGGCTTTTATAGTGTTCTTCTAACTTCTGCAGCCTACATATGAGTGGGAAGCACATCCTCTTCACACTACTGACTCAGTTTAAGTAGCTGTTTGTGGACAAATAAGGATTTAAGCCTCCAATCAGTCTCAGAAGCTGCACCAAAGTCTCTGTTTTCAAATTTGGAATATTAGTTAATCTTGCTAAAAAAAATGTGTGTGTGTGCATCCTAGGTGAAAAGCAAGCTCTGCACAAGTTACAGTGGTATCAAAACAGCTGGAGTTTTAAGAGCCAGGAGCATAAAAAGATAAGAATTATTACTGTTCTGGTTCTCTCAAATCTCTCTTATTATCTCATTCTTGTTCTGATTAGGTGTCATCAGCATGAGTTTAAAGGAACACTGGCAGAGGCTCAATCCAGAAAGACCAGAACCTGGCTTCCCTAGTCAATGAATGAACTAACATGTTGTCAACGATGTTTTTATTTGTTGCAACCATAGACAGGAGTTGGGGTTGCCTTTGAAGACGGCCCAGAAGCTTCAATTGGTCCAACATGCGGCAGCCATGATACTAACAGGAGCAGGACGCAGGGAGCATACAACCCCCTTGTTGTACCAGTTCCACTGGCTGCCGATTTGCTACCGGGCTCAATTCAAGGTGTTGGCGTTGGCCTATAAAGCCCTAAACAGTTCCGGCCCAAAATACCTATCCGACCGCATTTCAACCTACGAGCCCACCAGGACTTTGAGATCTTCCGGGGAGGCCCTGCTCTCGATCCCGCCTGCCTCACAGGCACGGCTGGTGGGGACGAGAGATAGGGCCTTCTCAGTGGTGGCTCCTTGGCTGTGGAACACCCTTCCCGTAGACATCAGACTGGCTCCTTCCCTGATGATATTCCGCAGGAAATTAAAGACTTGGTTGTTCAAGAAGGCATTCGAACAAGAAGTGCAATGATTGGTAATGACTATAGGAATGGAACAACGGAAAAGGATACTGGATTGTGGTTTGGACAATGAGACGACGCGGAATGGCTTTTGTAGTAATGATGATGTTTTTGTTAATGCTGGATTGTGGATCATTTTATACTGTGTCTTGAATTTTGAACCTTGTTCTTTCTATGTTGTACACCACTGTGAGTTGCCCCCGGGCTGAGAATAGCGGTATATAAGCAAAGTAATTAATTAATTAATTAATTAATTAATTAATCTATTACTGATGTCCTTTGGCTTTGGTAAGGTATGAGAGTCATCACTAGGGATGTGAGGGGAAATTGGTCTGACCAGCTCAAGGGCTGAAGATTTTCCTGGAGCCACTAATGGCAGCGGGACCACATGGATTTTTTTCCAGTTTGTTGGAAGGTTTCTGGCAGCAGGCCAGAAGAAAAGGATCATTGATCAATAGCTTAGTCAATGTCTGGATCGGGACTTATACAGGCGCCAATCCTAACTACAGATGTAACCAGTAAACTTGTGGCCTATATCTTTCAACAACATTGTGTTTGTTAATGTGTGTGTTCCCTGTGTAGCAGAACCTGCCCTGAACATGCAGATTGAGAACAAGGGACAACTGAAAATGACCATTCAGTTTGTGGCATCTAGGAATTTTGTTGTATTTCCTAGCTTGTTGTTTATTCCATATTTCTATACTGATATTTTGGCTTCTTGGTACACAATATGCATGTTCCTCCAGAAATGAAGGTGGAGAGTGGATTTGCCTTAGCTTGGGGAACTGAGGGAAATGTTTGAGGGAGAATATGAGTAAGAACTAAGTGTTCCCAGTAGACTAGGCCTTATGTAAAGTATCTCCTTCAAATAGAATTGGGTAATCTGATTTGGATTTGTGGACTCAGACTTGGTTGTATTAATATTTTAAGGGGCAATAGTTTTAATGTATTTTAATTGCTTTTTTGATGTATTTTTATTGCTGTTGACCTGTTTATGTTAATTGCTGTGTTCTGTTTCTTTGTTGGCATCTAATGACTGCCTATTGTAAGCCATCCTGAGTCCTCCTTCAGGGGTTGAGAGGGCCGGGATACAAATGCGCTAAATAAATAATAAATAAATAATCTGCCAAATTGTCTGAATGTTTGTACCATTACATGCTGAAGATAATGTGCATTCACACAAAGCCTGATGATACAAGCAACATATTTCCAAATATGCAAACATAAAAACTGGCAAGCGTTCATACAGCCTTAAGACTGCTAATCCCATTGTGACCACAAGTGAAAACAAACACATATAAAGGCATCTGGAGTCTTTAACAATACAACGCTGAAGCTGTAGCCATGCAGACGGAATAGAGCAAATAAGAAGATAGATGATCCATAGAAAATTGCTGCCTATGACACATGAAATGGAATTGGAAATGGGTTTCCTCCTGCTGAGTAAGCATTAGCCAGGATGGAAACAGTAGCATGCCTTAAAAGAGTCAAAATATTGCCCAATGTTGAGCACACAAGCTTCTCCTTGACATACCTCCAGGTTAACCTGCAATCTTCCCACAACAGGAAAGAACAAACTAAGAATAGTTATAAATATCCTGGATTCTGTGTGGCTTCAAGGATCTGAAGTTTCCATGTGGTAGAAATGCTGGCAGTTTTATCATTGTGTGTTGCACTCCTAGAAAATAACTCAATTTATATTACGTCACATTACACATACCTTGAAAGAACCCACTCTAAACTATTGATTTAAGCTTAGTATTTTGCATTAATTCCTATCTATTTTTTACTGTATGGGCTAATATAAGCTAGTAATGAATCTATGTGCCCCATCTTCCAAAATACAGGGACCTCTAACGTATTATCCAATAAAGTGTAATAGAAAACAAGAGCATGTCAAACTCATATAAAACACTTGGGTGATCAGATCGAGAGAGACACTTGAGGCTTTGTTCAACAGAAGAGAAGGAAAATGTGCCTGTTATCCAGCAGAAGCAAGGTGCTAAAAATAAACTCTGCTTCCAAACTTCTTTACAGGTGCCACCGGGCTCACACTGCCTCTTTGAACAACTAGAGCTGTTGATCATGGGAAGGAATTACAGGCATTTGTACTATATTCCACAACGCCATTTCTCCCCTGGTTTGGGAAGCCAGGCAACAGAGAGGGAGAGCAGCGTGGTACTGGTGTCCAATGGTCACATATGTTAGAGGCATTCTTCTAGGTTCACACTCTACTATATGTTACTCATTAAATTTTGGACCACTAATGAATCAAGTTCTGTTTAATTATCTAGGAATCTGGGTTGTTGTGAGTTTTTCAGGCTGTATGGCCATGTTCCAGAAGTATTCTCTCCTGACATTTCATCTGCATCTATTCCAGCCATGAAAGCCTTCAACAATACATATCTAGGATCCATGAGGTTTTGTTAGATAATGTGACATGTTGCATGTAAAGCCACTCTCCTTAATGGGATTTTGGCCAGCAAAAATAGGAGTAGAGGGTCTAGATCCAGAGAAGTCATGCTACCCCTCTATACTGCCTTGGTCAGACCATACCAAGTTCAATTCTATGAACTGTGTTCAATTCTATGAACCGCAATTTAAGAGAGATGTTGATAAGCTGGAATGTGTCCAGAAGAGGATGATTAAAATGATCAAGGGTCTGGAGAACAAGCCCTAGGAGGAGCGGCTTAAAGAACTGGGCATGTTTACCCTGCAGAAGAAGAGGCTGAGAGGAGACATGATGCCCATGGAAAAATATGTGAGAGGAAGTCATAGGGAGGAAGGAGCAAGCTTATTTTCTGCTGCCCTGGAGACTAGGACACAGAACAGTGGCTTCAAACTGCAAGAAAGGAGATTCCACCTGAACATGAGGAAGAACTTCCTAACTGTGAGAGCTGTTCAGCAGTGGAACTCTCTGCCCCGGATTGTGGTGGAGTCTCCTTCTTTGGAGGCTTTTCAACAGAGGCTGAATGGCCATCTGTCGGGGGTGCTTTGAATACGATTTTCCTGCTTCTTGGCAGGGTGTTGGGCTGGATGGCCCACAAGGTCTCTTCTAATTCTATGATTTCTAACTGTGCTATAACTGTGGTCCTATCTACAACAATGTCATTTTAGATGTTTTATCAGTCTGTCCAGAACTGATCCCAGAAGCACCTATAATTACTGGAACCATAATGGTTTTTTTCAACCTCTAAACAAGAACAATTAAATTTCAGTGGATAGGTCTTGATATTTCTTAATCTTTTCCATCCCTTGGTTTTCAGTTCTGATGTCTGCGGGAACTACTTAATTTCTAATTTGGATTCTCTTTTTTTAGCCACAGTTACCTGGCACATTGTGTTCCATTTTTATGAATCACCTGCTAGAGGGTCCAGCTAGCAGTTTCTATCTCTCGACCAAGTACATGTTTCACATTAATACAGCTTACTTTTAACTGAAAGCAGATTTTAAAAATAATGCAGGTGGCCAATGAACATTACCAAACTGCCTTACATTGGCCTTCTGTTTGTCCTCTACTCAACTCCTCAAAAAGAAGAACCCAATTGTTCTCTACTGAAATATTCTTCTTACAGCAAAACTCTGCTCCTTTTAAAATGTATCTTTATTTACTTGTATGTTTGCCAGGAATAGCGGGAAATGAACAAACTGCTGAAGGGAAGAGATAAGGGATTTAATTGCCACCTGACACCATTTCACCACAGACTGTGCTGGCTGGCAAGCAGCCGGCAAATCTTTCAAACATCCCCAGATATATAATTCTACTAAGTAGAAATGTGTTTTATAGAATGCATGACGGGAAAGGGCAGGAAAAAAATGTGGATTTTGGGACTAGAAAATCTTACCTGCAATTGGCAAAAGTTAGGATTTAACTACTTGCTTTTTTTCTGTAATGACAAGAAAAATACTTTTCCTAATTTTAGAAAATTCTGATATGTATCTTATAGCAATGTAGTTACTCAGAGGAATCCATCCTTTCAATCACAGCTGCTGGATGGTACAGAATCAGCGCCAACTCATGACTTCTGTGTCAGAGGCCAATGAATCCACTCTGTATTTTAGCCGGAACCTTAAAGGGACTATCAAAGTCACTGAACCCAGAATCTGCCAAAATAAGTCCACCATTTTAAAGAAATATTTTAGACTGAAAGATTTTTAGCTCCCAGTGGCACAGCGGGCTAAACAGCTCAGCTTCTGAACTTCCTGAATAAAAGGTCAGAAGTTCAAGTCCAGGGAGCAGGGTGAGGTTCCACTGTCAGCCCCAGCTTCTGCCAACCTAGCTGTTTAAAAACATGCAAATGTGAGTAGATCAATAGGTACTGCTTCGGCAGGAAGGTAACTGCACTCCATACAGTCATGCCAGCCACATGAACTTTGAGGTGTCTACGGACAACGCTGGCTCTTTGGCTGAGAAATGGAGATGAGCACCACCACCCAGAGTTGGACACGACTAGACTTAATGTCAGGGGAAAACCTTTACCTTTACTTTAAAAGATTTACAGAATTTTCAAACTGATGGACCCAATTTCAAAGCAGTATATTTCACAATAACATGTTACAGTGACACAAACAGTTAAAGTAGTTTAATGAGTTATCTAATTATCAGTGTTTTTTTTTACTAACCATTCTGAAGCAGAAACAAATGTGAAAAACAACTCCACAAATTGAACTAGGACTTACGTTGTAGGGTCATCATTTTATGAATGGTTGAGGCTAGGGGCTGTTTGTGTGCTGGGAGAGACACCCAGCAATAGTCACATGAAACTCTATGTCCCACCCTTTCAAGTGATAAGAGTTTTATTTGTGGGTGATTTGTGGTTGCAGAGATATAGTGATTTCACATCAGGTCCATTTTTTTGAAACATCCTGTACTTCTCCACAGACATCAGAGTCTACAATTGCTCCTCAGATCTCCTCAACTTGATGGAGCACAATCCCATACAAGTAGAGAGAAATGCCAGTTTCGCCTGCATCTATGGCAAGCATTCTCAGACGTTGTGAGGATGCTTGCCATAGATGCAGGCGAAACATCAGAAGAGAATGCCTCTAGAACATGGTCATATAGCCTGAAAATCCTACAACAACCCATATGTGGGATTGATTGTGT